CCCGGAGTGTCCTTGCGCCAAAGCTTGCGCGAATATAAGAGTCGAGTGAATGCGCGAACGTGTCCGAGATGCGTGCAAGAGCGTGTGATTGAGATTTTGCCGAAGCGCACACACACATACACACACGCACACTCGGCAGCGCGGGAAAGATTGCGACACTTTCTTTATTTTAATGGGGTTTGAAGCGCACTACGATATTTCGCGAATGCGAGCCACGATTGAATGTACCTGCCTGTAGGCCAAAGACAATTCGCAGTTTCAAAATATTAGTGCGTTCAAAGGCTGTCAAGATAAAAAGTGTCGCAGCCTTTTTTTTTTCGTTTACCGAGCGTACATACCGAAGGATCTTTGGTCCCGGGCATGAATTTTGGCATTTGTGGGGTCTCATTGTAGGGCCGGTATTCGTCGTTGGTTCTTATCTCAAGATCGTCCTAAGTAATGTCTTAAGACGTTGATACAACTTTGTGATTGCGGCTCATGATGTCTTAGGACTATACTTAAGATTTTCTGAAATATATAAGCACCAGCTACATACATATACATATATATGTACCGGCCTAAAAAATCTACTCTCAAGCGTATAGGGTTTCACGAGTTCGTAGAACTGGACTTAATGGATTTAAACATACCTTGTGATTCAAATTTGAGTATTTATGCAATATAAAGTCGATATATAAAATGCTTGCACATATATGGATAAATCATTCTTGCATTTTTTTTTGTACAAGGTAGTACTCCTTTCTCGATTAACGTAGCGGTGTTTTTTTGCTAAGATAAAGTTTATCTTATCTATAAGGAGCAAAGGGGTACTTCATATTTTAATAACACTCTAGTAATATTTGGAAATCAGTTGTACGTTATACTTATTTTCGCTGTATCCAAGTATATCTTTATTGGTTCAATGAATCTCTATAATCGTTTATCTTATTTTTATATGATTATCTTACATAATAATTATACATCAAACATTAAGACGGATTATCGGATGCAAGTAGAGCTTGTCGCTTGAACTTTATTGTGATTTATAAGTTCGAAATATTTGCTATTACTTTGGTTACAAATTTGAAGTTACTTCGGTTTGTTTAATTTACCATTACGTTACTTTTTGCTTCAATACTTATCTCTATTTATGTCAGAAATAATTTTTTTCGATTTCTATTACAAAGCTGTAAAATGCAAGTGTTGTCATATCGTCAAAATTGCTGTCAGATGTTTCGTCAGGGAAAACGTTTTACTTAAGATGAACAAGCTCATATTACAAAATATCACAAATAAACTCCCCCGCCCTCTGTTTTTTTGTACAACTTGTAATGATAGCAATTTACCTTCTAGGTAGTGACGTCATCAGGTATCACAACACTTAATTGCAGTGCGACAGAAGACACGTCAGGGTTCCGAAATTTTCTACCTTACTTCTAGCTTATTATTCTCTATATTAAATTCAACGTTTCTAAATTGTTTATGCCATCCGTAATATGTATATCCATCTTATCGGTTCTAAGCAGTTTGGGACATGCTATATACGAGTCATATATCTATGCATACGCGTAGAGAACTTCAGTTTTTTAGATCTACAATTACGCAGAAAGTTATAAATGATAAATACGGAACGATAATTTTAATGCAGTAATTTAATAATGGTTCTAATAGCGGTTTAATAATAGTTGCTAAAGGTTTACATGTAACGGCATTACTATAACATAGGCATTATTACATATTAGGCATTGTTATATATATATATGCAATTTTTTTTCTGTGATATTGTTTTGTCTCTGAGAGATTGAATAGGAACTTTGTAAGCATTCTGTGTCATGTTTCGAGTTTACAGACGATCACGTGAAAGTATAGTAAATTGGCCGGCAAACTGAAACAAGATTTAAACTTACCTAAGAAAATGTTTCAACAGAATTTAATTTTGTTCTTTATCAGAATACTTCGTTTTGTATTCTTAATAAAGTTTGCTTTAAAGCTTAATAAATTTCAGTCAGATAACTTATTGCCCGAATTGCAAGAGAAGAGATATCCATTGCTTGTGCTAAATTACCGTGTATTAAATTGTCCTTGAAATGTGATGTACCTCGCGTCACAGCAAGAACGAAGGAAACATTTTCTGGAAACTCGGCCGGATCTATGCGGGTCGTTGCAGAGTGCTTACAGGTCGATCTTTTCCCCATGTCGGAAAGGGGGGTTGGGAAGGGGGAAAAAAACGATGGTCTAAAAGTCTAAAACGATCCCCAATTAATGAGAGACACACTCCCTAATCAGCGAAATGCGCGCTGGTAATCGTAGGCTAGCGATTAGGGGTGCTCGCTCGCGTCTCTCGCGTTTACAAAACCTTTTGAAAAATCGTGCTGTCTTTGATGAGGGCTCTCTTTTGCAGAAGAAAAAGGATGTGTGGTTGGCCATTGGTAGTTGTAAACACCAAGGCATGCTCAACCCAAGATTGCAATGCTTTCCTAATACCCGATAAAACGATTGGTAAGTTTGAGCCAGGTGCATGCGACCGTGTCGCATCGCTATGCTCGCCCCGTCTTTCTCTCTTTTTCTCTCTCTCTCTCTGTTATACACGCTCTCTCTCTTTCACGCTCGCTCTCTCTTCTTGTACCTTCCCCTCCCTCAGCGCTCTCGGAGACCCATAGAGTTCTGGAAATAAAACGAACAGAAAAAGATTGAGAAAGAGCACGAGAATTGTCGCCGACGTCTGTCTCCGTCATCCAGCGTCAGAAAAAGCATTGCTTTTCGGTAGCAAGGGAAGGTTGCTACCGTAGTACTTGACAGGCGATACGAAAAAGAAAAACAGATTCTCTCGTTTGTAATTGTCATTGTGAATTTGACATTTGACAACATAAATAAAAATGAAAAGATATAAAGGCATATATATATTACATATATATATGAAATGTTATTGTTATATTTATACATATTTATAGCAAAAAGACTGTCTTTATGAAATTTACTAACGTTCTACGATTTGCTTTTTGTCCCCTTGTTCGCGCGTCCCTGCCACATCGGCTGGCTGGCATGGCATTCAACTGTTTGCTGTTCGTAGGAGCAGGACTCCTCTTCCAAAGACAAGTCCTCCAAGGAGAATGGGTCTAGTCGCAAGTCATCTGGGTGAGTAAGAGAAACATTCTTTTAATTACTTGGCTATATTGAAAATTAAGTGGAGACTTTAGACGAGGATTAAGACTTAATTGCACGACCCTTGTATTTAACTTTGACTTTGAAGCTAAGAGAGAGACTAGGTGACCCTACGTCACACATTAGAGCTTACTAGAATTTGGAGGTCTTGCTAAAACGCGTCGACTTGCCATCGTTTTACTTTCATTTTTATCGTGCGTGTTTTGAGATTTTACTTAGGTCACTTTCAAAATGAACAATTTTGCACGTATCGGTACGTATTATGGATTTTAACATTGAATATGATGCCGTTAATGATAAAGGGTCAATGATAAAGTAACGTTAATTAAGAACAAAAGAATAAAACTTGAATTTTCTGATTTATTTGAATTTACTTGAATGAGGAACGCGTAAAAGATTTGGGCTGTGAACAAAATTTTGTTTTCAATTTTCTTATTATGCTATTTCGTGCTTTGTTGCAACGCGGAATAATCCCCACGATTGCATAGGTTGTCAAAATTGTCAAAGAATCTGTCATAAAAAGTCGACCGTGACTATTATTTGAGTATTTTGTTAGCATGTCGTTAATCCCGATACACTTGTCAATACACTTGTCGATTCATGTTAGAGTAAAGAGAGAAAATTTCCCGCAACGCCTTGTGATGTCATATCTTTACGCCATAATTGAAGCAGCATTAGTCACTCGCCTAACAGACCCATCTGAAGATTTATTCTCTTTGTTATAGACCCCATACAATTAGTAAATGCCGGTTAATTTGATAATTCCAAAGGTTAAACCGGACGATGGTAAGTATATAGGAAGAATATCTGTATTACAGATTCTCCTCTCGCGAAAATCGAAACGTACTTCCTTATGCTGTGAAAAGACGAAAAATAAAATTGTATAAAATTACGAAGTTGCATTGTGCTAATAACCGAGAAGCTTTTAGAAAACTCGATATTAAAGATTACCAAAAGAAAAAAAATTCCATATTCCAATTCCAATAATGCAACTTTTTTTATGGCTGAATCGAATATTGTAGAACTAAGAATGCATCTTTCCAGCATCTCAATGTTACATCATTTTAGCATCATTCGTTTATATATGACTTAACTTTTTTTTACTTCATCTTACATGCCAAGAAGGGAATTTGAATTACTTAAAAAAGAATACTATTTTCTAATCCAAGCATTCTAGTGTTCCATACATAACAATATAGTTCTAAGATTATTATAAAACATCGATGCAGATGCTAAGAAAATTTATTCAAGATTTAGTAACATTATTTTATGTATATAGGAATTTCCAACGAAATGTTTTAGACATACGATTTTCTCGATAATTTTACTTTTTTTTTATTTTTTTAATGTTTTATCTTTGAAAATCATTCCTCTTAGTTTACTCAATACAAGACATATATACAAGAGTACATATATATCTGAAATAACAATTCCATACACGCGTGGCTACCTTGATTTCCCATCTATTTAAAGGTTTTACCTTGAATATTTGAAGGAACACTACTCATTTCGCTTCATTTCGTGCGAACCTTTTTAATTGAAGTATTTTTCTTTCCGTAGGAAGAGCAAACATCGCTCGCGTTCACGTTCACGATCCCGGGATCGCGATCGCCGAGACAAAGATCGACGGGATCGCGACAGAGACAGGGATCGGGACCGCGACCGGGACAGAGATCGCGACCGCGATCGTCGTTCACGCAAATCAAGATCGCGCGAAAGGCGGGACCGGGAAAGGGATCGTGACAGCGATCGAGACAGGGACAGGCGAGACAGAGATCGGGATAGGGACAGAAGGAGGAAGAGATCGCTAACACCGTTGACCCTTCCTAGAGCCCGACCACCGTTCGGCAAAGGCCACAGTCCTCTTGGAATGTAAGTATATTTAAATAAAGTTAAAATCTAAAATAAATTGATGTAAGAGTTTTTACGCACCAAGTTTTGCGTAGTTGCCTCTTTTTATTGATTTGTATTATTGTAAGTATATTTGTTATATTCACAAGATTTCTGTACATATTAATAAAAATCTAATTATTAGATTTGATTTTTTTTTGTGTCGTCGAATTTTTAGATTTTATGTAATGTGAATGTAATAAAAGTAAAATAATTTAATATGAAAGTAAATTTTTTGATTATAGCATTAATTCTAGAGTGTAAAAATCAAAAATTAATTTAAGTTAAAGGAGTATATTAATCACAAATAGTATAAATTTATTAAAATTTATGAAATTGCTTAGGAATTAAGCAATACAAGACTATAAAAATGTATGTTAATTCAGACCAAATAATGAATATTTTTATTTTCTAATATATATTTATATTCTTCTCAAAATGCATAATTGACTAGACCCAGTCATGGAATTGTAATCTGTGATTCTGGGGGACATATTTATGCTAAATCAATATTGAATATTAAATTTGATTTTGTTACTATTTCCCTTAGTAACAGAAATTAATATGCAACAAACATAAATTAGAATTTATATAATTTTTAATATATATTTTAATATTTAATAAATACGATATTTTAATATACCATATTTTGTTTTAATATATAATATTAATTCGTTTCAGAAACGATGAGTTAACACCAGAAGAGCGAGATGCCCGAACTGTTTTTTGCATGCAGTTAAGTCAGCGAATTCGTGCATGCGATTTGGAAGAATTCTTCTCAAGCGTTGGCAAAGTACAGGATGTCAGACTTATCACATGCAACAAAACTCGAAGATTCAAAGGCATTGCTTATGTGGAATTCAAAGATCCAGAGAGTGTGACACTTGTGAGTATATTAATTATTACATAATTGGAGATATGATAATCAAATGGTATTTCCTTTTTCTCAATTAATTTTATATACAAAATAATCGAATATCTCCTTGATTTTCATTGTTTTGCAGGCTCTTGGTCTGTCAGGTCAAAAACTTCTTGGAGTACCTATCGTAGTACAGCATACACAAGCTGAGAAGAATCGCATGGGTAATTCGATGCCGAATCTAATGCCTAAGGGACAAACGGGACCTATGCGATTATATGTAGGATCTTTGCACTTTAACATCACAGAAGATATGCTTCGCGGTATCTTCGAACCGTTTGGAAAGATTGACAACATACAGTTGATTATGGATCCTGAAACGGGGCGCAGCAAGGGTTACGGCTTCCTGACTGTAAGTTTTTATAGTACTATCCATGCGCAAATATTTGTCGTTAAATATGTATTAAAATATTATTTCTTTACAATAATTGAATTAATATGTTTTAATTTGCACAGATGTTGATATCTTGATTGTATTGCATGAAACTCATATATTATTATTATTTTTTTCAGTTTAGAAATGCAGATGACGCGAAGAAAGCGTTGGAACAACTGAATGGATTCGAGCTCGCTGGTAGACCTATGAAAGTTGGAAACGTAACGGAACGAACTGATCTGATTCAAGGACCTTCTTTACTTGATACTGATGAGCTAGATCGTAGTGGAATTGATCTCGGAGCGACTGGACGGTACGTAATATACATATAATAATAAGAAAAATCTACAAGAAAGGAAAAGACCAAATATGTGAACTAAGGTCATGCTTCATTTAAAAATTTCTTAAAAATGATATGCTATTTTTACAGATTACAACTGATGTTCAAATTGGCGGAAGGTACCGGTTTGGAAATTCCTCCTGCTGCAGCAAACGCTTTAAATATGGCACCAGTGATGGCGCAGCCACAACCACCGCCTCAGGCCGCGCCGCCTATTGCAACACAGTGCTTCATGTTATCGAACATGTTCGATCCACAGAAGTAAGTCACATATGTTTTCTTACATCGAATAACTTCTTACTTTGTGCGTTGCATATTTGTAGACCTGGTGTCACGTGTACTATACTTTCACTAGGGGGAATATATATGCTAGATAAAAATGTTATCATTGATTTATAGCATATGTTCAAAAACAGTGATATGCATAATTAATGATAACATAACAAAGTTAATGTAAAAGCATCTTTTAAACTATTTTAAAAATCGAATTATCACGTATTAATCTTATATAAAAGTACTGCTATACTGCAGACTATCATTTTTTTGGAATTGAAATTAAATTACAAACTATAATTGTATTGTTTTTGTTTTCAGTGAGACAAATCCTAACTGGGCAAAAGAAATTCGCGACGATGTGATTGAGGAGTGTAATAAGCACGGCGGTGTCTTACACGTATACGTGGACCAAGCGTCACCACAGGGTAACGTCTACGTAAAGTGTCCGTCAATCGCGACCGCCGTGGCGGCTGTGAACTCGCTGCACGGCCGATGGTTCGCTGGTCGCGTCATAACCGCAGCCTACGTGCCAGTGGTGAATTACCACTCGTTATTCCCCGATGCAATGACCGCGTTACAATTGTTGGTACCGAGCGCACCGCGAAGAGGGATGTGATGACCTTAAACGAGCGAGCGACAATCCGTCTGCTGATTTGTAAAATCCTTGCGTAGTATTGCGTTCTTCTCTGTCTCACATACTCTCGTTGCTGTCCGGTGGAATCGCATTTTTTTTATTCGTTGATAAGACGGGGAAAGGAGGCACCTTGAGGTAACAGATTTTCAACGATCGTATGTTGTTAACTTGTGTCACGTTGCATAAATTCATCGTAGCATTGTGAACGTGCGATAAGTTCGATTCGTTTCACGGCACACACATATATATAGTTCGCATTAATTTTGATGGCAATCAAAATTTGTGATAGTAGGGAGATTATACGGTTTGTTTGTCATTTTTCACCTGGCTGTTCAAGCACATGTGAATTAAAGGATTTATGAACTCCAAAATATATGATTTTTTGCCACGTTGTACATATATTATTTATATTTCTTAATTTTTTTATTTAGTTTTCCCTTGTATGAAGAAATATAATATGAAGTAAATATTAATTGTTCTGATTTATTTATTTTTTTGGTGATACTGTAATGAATATATTCCAAAGAAATTACGAAACTAATGTATTTTTATTTGGAAAGGAGGGGGGGTACAATACGATTTTGAAATCAAGTTTTTTCTTCGCTTGTAAACTAGTATTGAAGATATTTGTATTGCGTGAGATGATAACTAAAAAGCACAAAAAGAATATCTGAGTTTTTACAAGTGGACATTTACAATCTATAAGAAAGAACCACAAGCTTCAATTTGTGGAGAATAATTATGAAAATTACAAATCAATATTATTACAAATATATACATGAAGTTTCGTGTAAAATGATACAATCACGCAATAATTTTCGAATTTACGAGAAAAAAAATAAAGAAATATTTTAATTATTGAATATCTATGGAAATAGAATAATTTTTTCTATTTCTACAATATGCCATTGGCATATTTTCTCTTTACGTGAAATTCATTGTAAAAAGTTCAGATAGATGCAGATTATAGAATTTCTATTTGTCGCGTGTAATTGTGTAGACTGAAAAATATATAAATGCATTTGTTTATCAAAAAATGCTAATCGCGTTTTATTCTAATGCATCTCTATATTATAGAAAAGAGTACTTTTATCGCGAATCAACTACTCGAGTCAAAAATTTCTAATCCTCTGCAGACCTCTTTTTTTTTAAATCGTATTTTACTTCCGTTTAAATGTACTGTAAATATTTCGTATAACAAATCTAATGCGTATTTAAAATTTCTCCGTTGTGATCATTACAAAACACCAGACCTTAATCCTTGACTTTCCAAATATATGCATGTAATGACGCGTAATTATGAGTAGAAGAAAAATTGATAACAGAGGAAGAGCCAGAAGAGGACGAAGGGCGGAATAAAAATAGACGAGGCCGAAGAGAAGTTGAGGAACGCGGGAGAAACTCGTGCGAGGTGATGAGAAGAAACGAAGAAAAGCGGGCTTTTAAATATTGGCGTATTGGAATGTTATAGTATCTATAACAAAGATGAATTTAAAAAAAAAAGACATACAGAATGAAATATAATGGTGTATAGACACGAGGGGAAAAGAAAGAGAGAGAGAAAGAGATTATCAAGAAATAGTAATATACAAGAGGTGGCGTAGAGATTTTATGAGGAGAATAAATAAAAATGGTCGGCAAAAATTTTCGTAACTATCAGGAGTGTCAGAGAATAATTGAAGAACAAATAACATTACTATTTTGGCGGCATCGATAATAATAAATACGATCGTTTTACGTCTTATATGACAGTCTATTTTCTTATCAACAGTGAAAAGTTTATAACTTCATACATATTATTTTTCAATTTTCACCTTTTCGAACAGATGACGGAAATGAAGATCCTGTGTGTGCAAACGATAGATCAGGGACAAATTGGATGAGGTTGGGATAAAAATAAGGTTTGAGTTACGTTGCATTTAGTATTATTAAGTTCAAAATTATTTGAACTCCCCATGAGAATAATAAACATTCATTCACTATCATCCTTTCAATTTTAAATCGGCGCATAAAGATATATGATCACTAGGAAACACCACGGACGGCAAGCCCGTGTTAAGAGTAAGCTCCTCCTTACTGGGCATCGGGACCACTTGTTCCACCTCGAATTTGTCTTTCTCGTAAAATATGTAGTCCAAACAGGCGGAGAACTCGGGCGTATAGTTTGTATATTCTGGCGTGCCGCAAGCGCTAGACATACAAAGGTCCTGCGCTAAGGATACGTTTTCTACAGCTTCCTCGGCATCTGGAAAAAAAAAAAATTATTGTCATTTCTCACGATTAATAAGGCATTTCAGTCATATCACGTTGCACAACAAAATGAGGCATGTAACAAAATTCGTAAACTGACGATACTGAGGAAAGTCACTCACTACTCTTCCAATCTTCACAGGTTTCCGGAACGTAATTCTCCGTCATCAGTTGATAAATGCCGCATTCCGGCACACTGTTAAAATCACCGCAAAGCATCACGCTCACGTTACACGCGGGATTCTGTCAACATACGAACGGCAATTGTCAATAAATTGTAATATCAATAACAGACTCTTTTGCAAGACGAAAGATTCGCGAAAGTGTCAAAATACCGATTTCAAATATTTTTTGAGTGTAATGAATGTAAAAGGTTTTTTGTTTTACAGGATCAATAGAATAGATACATAATAGATATAATCAGATACAGGATGTATCTATATACCTCTTCTCGAATCCTTTTTGCGACATCGTGTATATATGTAACGGCATAATATCCTTGCAACAAACGTATATGATCTGCATCAGGTTTAAAGTATAAATGCGTGTTGCCGATGATCAAGATTTCAGATTGGTTCTCTTTCGATCGTAACGTTGTTACCTAAAAGCCATTGTTAACTTTTATTACTGGTAAGTATAATAATATCCACTTAAGATCCCAACTGCCCCACGCGCAATTACCTGAATGGTTGTGTTTCTACTCAAAAATCTCTCCTTCATCTTGTCATTGACGATTTTAGACCACACCGCAGCAAACTTGGGACAATCAATGTTTTGAGCCATTACGCTGTATTCAAATCCTAACTTTTCGAATCTATCCTGATTGAAAAATGTGGCGAGTCCTTCGCTAATTTCGTTCTTTGTAACGAACACGCCATCGTAATTCAACATGTACAGAGAAGGCAATAAGTCATATTCGTATATGCTTTTATCTACCTCTTGCAAGCAAATTATATCGCCGTTAAAACCTACAATAAAATCATCATACTTAAATACTAAAATTACGAAAATGATTATAAACTATTGCTACTGCTTCACTCTAATCTAATAACACTTTATGTTAATATTTAAAGATATCGAAAATAGCCAGATTTCGTGAACTAAGGATATTTAACGATTAATATAAATTATTAAATTACAAACTAATTAATACAAATTAACTGTTAGCTATTAAAATTTTAAACTTTTATATATATATAACGAAAATCATTTACGATATTTTACGTTTTTAATAAAACAGCTTGTATATGTATATTTTATCACTCACCTATTATCTCTTTAAGTATCAATTGTTTTCTATAATCCATATCTAATGCATATTGCGGACAGTATGGGAATAATACATCCTTAGAAAAATCAGAATCGGCATACGTATCTGCCAATACGTTATAAGATATTACTCTGAAACTATTTTTTTCTTCTTTAATGTATAGTTTGCAAGCAAAACAAATAAAACATACTAATTTAGTGTAATTATATAATTGTATTATACATAATATAAATTTTTCTAACTTTATTCGTGATATCTTTTATGAGTATCATACCTCCTGCCTGACAATTTATGTTTCGTGAACTGATGTCGAGTGTCAAATGGGCATTGTCCAGGGCCGGCCTCCACGACATTCTTCGATTCTACTTCCATCCTAGAACCAGAGTCCGACTCATTCCGCGGTTCACAGCTGATCTTCAAATGGCAGCCAATATCAGTCACACTGGGTATGTATAGATATCCATTGCCTACGTGTGTCCACGAATAAAGTTTGACAGGATTGTTCTTGTACCAGTCAAACGTTGATTGCTTCATGTCAGTATAGAGTGATTCAAACTTGGATGGATAAATTGGAAAACCTGCCAATATGCTCGACGGTAACGAAATTTTGATAATATAAGGTGCATTTCGCTTCACTAGGAAGGTCTTCTCAAAAATGATCAGTTTTAACTCTGCAGAATCCTGCAGAAGGCTTTCACACAATATTTCACCATCCACTTTGGTATCATTCTTGAGAAGCATGATCTTTCCATTCTCCACATTGTTCACTGTCAACTCGGATACCTCTGAAGCAGCGTTTTTCTTCTTTTTTCTTTCTGCCTAAAGAAAAAACTTTTTAAAAGACATAATAAAAAAATTTTTATATCGCTCAGGAAATATTTCTTATTTTTTGTATACTATATTTTATTTTTTCATAAATTATACACAAAAATTTTTAAATTGAAATTTAAACTGTTTTATCTTAACATCAATATTATAATTTCACAATCAACAATATGGGAAACAGTATTCATGTAACAGTTACACTGTTGACCAGAAAATTGTCAAATATTGATGTAATATTAGTGTTAATTGATCATTAATGGAATAAGAAAAACGGCAAGAAGAATAAAGGGGAAAAGAAGAAAAAAAAGAGAGGACTTCTTACCTTTCGATTTAAAATCTTGCAAACATTTGTGTCGATCCTTTTAAGGAAATTGTTTACACTTTCCGCGGCCTGTCTGGAAAAGTTGAACTGACGATCAACCTTCATCACCTCGTCCACGTAGCGAAATGAGATGTCGAACATGTCATTGCCTTTTTCATAGCGGAGAAATGCCTCGTTCATCTTCAATATGTGTCTGGGATGACAGTGCTTATTGCGATACGGCAGAAACGACGAAACTAGGTGGATTCTGTGCGCAAGCAATTTAGCGAACGTATTTAGCATTATAATCGATCACGATTCATTCACCCTGGAAATACCGTGCGGATCTTTATTTAGGCGAAACAAAATTAGATAACAAAAAAAGCCTTTTAAGTAAATTGTTTTCTTTTAAATTTATTACAAATAATCATTGTACAGTAGACATCCAGGAAAATATGTTGGACATTATAAATACCTTTGTGATATCCTCCAATATACTCTTTCATACATGCGCGACAATCAGCGTCGAATCAGAGAGAAACCTGAGAGAGGACATGACGTCCATGACGGTCTTTTGCAGGTTACCTCAAAATGCCCTCGTGCACTTAGCACTAACGTTCCCTGAAGAAGTGGACGTAAACTACATAGTAACTTTCATTCTTCTGCACCGCGGGTATATATTCATAATTAATGAAATTGTTAAACTTCTCATGCTTATTTAAACGGTCACGTTCCGGGTCTCGAGACCCATCTTCAAAAATTAATAAAATTGTTAATCTTTTCAGGCTTATTTAAACGATCGACGTTGTGTCTGACGACGGATTTTACCGACGGCGGATTTTTATCGACGCGCCGGATGGAATCGCGCTTCGCGGAAAATCCGTCGTGTGGCGCACATCGCGCAGTCGCCATCTTAGAGTCGCGTTGTTTCGAAGCAGCTCCGGCCCGCTCCGCGCTGCTCCGCGTTTCGCCGACCCTTTCGCATCGAAAAATCATGTCGCGCTTGCAGCAGGAGTACATCCCGAGAAGGTATCCACGTAAAGTATCGACGTAAAGTATAATTTAGACCGTAAGATGCTAGACGAACTGTTCCTCGTACGAGCAATTCTCGACGCGGCACAGCGACAAAGATCATGAGTGCTAGGATGTCGCCGCGTCGTTCCGTGTCAGCTCTTCGATTTAGAAATTTAAATTTGCGCTCGAAGCGGAATGCCGATAGCAGCGAATTTGACGTTGGAGAGGCAGCGAGAAGTTCAATGTACGAGTGCGCATAACAAGCTGTTTTTTAATAAATAATTTTTAGATTTTACACGTGCATAAATGGCCCTTCGCGCCGCATCGAGCTCGCGAGGCATCGCGCGTCGGCGTAAGTTAGCTGCCGCGTCGCTCTACGATTTTTCCGCTCGTACAAAAATTTGCAGCACGCACGGCACGTTTTCGAAAATATCTCAAATTTAGTGTTGAAGAATAGAACAATCGATAATGCATAAACGCGCGATGGCAAGCTGTTTTCGCGAGGGAATCGATTTTGGCGTGTGAATCTTCCGTCGCGCGATGGCTCGGGCATCGGTGCGAAGTTGCCGTCGTTCGCGTTCGCTACGTCCTCGTTTATTATTTGCAAGTGTATCGCGCGATACACGCGTGAGAGGAATATCGGGAATGTTGAATTCAGCATCGATCGATCGCACTACAAGAACGTAATTGAGGATTTTTGCGATCGCATGCAGGATCGCCGTAAGCCGGACATCAGCAACAAATCATCCCCGTTGGAGACTTACGAGAGGATAAGCGGAAGGATCATCTCGTTATCCCCGTCGTTTTCGAAAGGCATCGTGGCGACGAAAGGGAATTACGTACTGGACAAGATATTGGCTGGACGATCATTGCGACGCTACGGTAAGTGATAGCGTTCAAAGTTTCTTTACGATATTTTTTAATTTTTGTGCGCTCCAGTTCGCCCAGGGTCAAGTTAAAAATGATCCATTTTACCATCTAGAAGAAAATGATATCTTCCTAAAAAAAACATGTAGAAAAAAAATGCAGATTGATATTTATTGTACATAAAATTTTCTTGTATTAAATTCTTACAGTCAGCAAAAATACTTTATGTAAATTTTGTTTTATTATAAAAATTTGCAATTTAACTATTACTCGAAAATACTATAAAATAATACTCAACATAAAATAACTATGACGATAGCTTTCGGTATTCGTTACAAAAAACTTATCAAATTTATCAAAGAATATTCTGTTCTATATGTTGTTCTACTCATATTTCTCATTAGTCTCATTACTATTCGATTTTGAGAACCACCCCGTATAGTGTATACCGCGCACACTTTATCATTCTTCTCCTCGTTATAAAGTATCTTACAATTTATTTTAAGCAAGACTTAAGACAAAGAATTCTTAATAAAATTGTCAATATTTTTTATTATGGTATATGAAATATAACGTAAGACGAATCGCAATCCTAGCTTACAGCAAATCTTGTATATAACATCTTTTGTAGAATTCTTACGCGTTATAGCTGAGGAATATGCTATATGTAAATTGTTTTGCTTAGAGGAAATGTTTAAAGGAATTTTCCGCTTATAAATAGAACATTTTTTTTGGGGTGAGATATAGATATTTGAAAAGTAAAGTTTAACTTTGTTTTGATTAAAAAAGAATTTACGGATTAATTTATTATTTTTTCAAATTTTTTATTTTTTGAGAGTATTATATTGTATAATTTTTTTTAAAAATCAAGAGAAAAAAGTAAAATTCAGTCTTAACATTTTTATTATTTATTAAAAAGTAATGATTTGCTTTTATTATGAAAAATATCGTATTTTAATTAAAAATATGTTATGCCATCAAAACCCATAACCCGTTAAAATCCGAATTCATTAGTTAAAACTAGAATGGTTGATTAGACGTAAAATCGAAAACCTATACTATATGTGAACAGTGCAATTTGTAAAATATTGTTTCGCAAAAAAGGGTAGAAACGGAGTTGGACCTCACTACGCATGGAAAGTCAAAAACCTATGTAAAACAGTACAATTATAGACCTCTTTTCAACTAAATTTAAAACTAGTTTTATCTATAGTGAAATCGGGTTTTAACGGTATATACATATATATATATGAATATGTATATGTATATATATTATTTTTATTTGGATTTAAAGCAATACGTAATTACTTCTAATACTCTATTGATTTAAAGATTATTAATACGCATACATCTCTCATACGAGTATTATCCTCTCTCAAAAAATTAAACCACAAGAAATGAATGGTTAAATTATATATTTATAAAAAAAATTTTCATCTAAATATTCTTCAATTAAATCCTGATTACATTACGAATACTAGACATTTATTTTACATTTTTAATATTTTATTTAAATTTAAATTATTCTAATATATATAATAATTAACTAGTGTAATTTTTAATTTTTATTTTTATAATGCGTTGTTATTATTACGCAATTATATTCTGTGGTCATAGCACAGAATAGAGCCAAACAAAGTATAAAACCAAATAAAAAGCATATAATGAACGAAATAAAATAAACAACCGCGGTTGTGTTATCCATTGCAAATATCCGTTGCTACGTAGTTCGCAATGTGCACGTTTTGTACACGTATAAAGGTGCTGACGCGGACATATCCCAAAGTGATTATGTCCAATTCTTAGATTTTTCTCTGATATAAGTAACTCGATCCGACTGTTATCCGCTGTTATTATTTCAAAGCTAATTAATATTTTTTGGATTCAAAGACATGGTAACCTGCATTAATGACAATCGGTATTATAATGAGAAATGAATTTTGTATCAATAGATATTTGATGCCGAAATCATTTTTATCTTCTTAGATGGCGCCATAAGCATCATTACTGTTGGCTTTTGCCTCTTTTATAAAAATTTGCAAAGAAAGATTGAAGTTATATAAGTTTAAAATTGCCTTGATGAACCTGTTAATTAATTGCAAATGCTATAAAATTTTTAAAGCAATTATGTTTCTTCGCACTCCTTCGATTTTGATTCCGCATGTTTTTCCAATTTTGTTTCTTTTTCACACTCTTCTGATTTTGCTTCCGTATATTTTTCCGATTTTGTTTCTTCACGTCCTTCTGATTTTGTTTCTTTTTTTGATTTTGTTCTTTCACTTTTCTCTGATTTTGTTTCTTCGTCTTTTTCAGATTTTGCTTCCTCGATTTGTTCTGAGTTTTCTGATTTTATTTCCTCAGTATGTTCCGATTTCGTTTCTTCGCATTCTGCTTGGTTCGTTTCCTCTTTTTCTGATTTTGTTTCTTCCTTTTTCTGCTTTTCTGATTTCGTTTCTTCATGACTCTCTGATTTTATTTCTTCCTGCTTCTCTGATTTTGTTTCTTCGCGTTCTTCTAATTTTATTTCTTCGCGTTTTTTCGTACTGTTATGTTTTGCAAATGTCGTCTCTTTAGTTTTAAGATTCTCGTTAGACTTTTTCTTTACCTCTCCTGCTGTTTTCTCTTTTAGTCGCACTTCTTTTGTGGAATATTTAACAGTCACGCATGTCGGTACTTTTTTCTTAATCAGCTGTAAAATTTAAGTTTAATAATCGCATTATTGATAATTTCATAATAATTATTTACCTTACGGGCTAATATTTTTTTGCTCGCAACTTTTTTGGCAGTTACAGTCTTATCCCAAACTAATTTCTCGTGCCACCAAATTCGTTGATACTCGTTCGAGAGCAGTTGTTCTATACGGGGCTCTCTTTCTCTATGTATGTAAATTACAAAGAAAAAATTATTTATAATTCTACAATATTATATTTAATACATAATAATAAAATTAAAAATATATATGAAAATTAATAAATAACATATAAATATAATATATTTTATGAGTCATTCCATGTCAACTCAACTACCCTTCCGTCTAAAATTTTACTAAACAAATTGTATTTTGTATGATACCAAAATTTAGGTTACGATTTCTAATTTTTAATACCATGTGACGCTTTTGAAAAATTTTAAATAATATCCATGATTTCATCAATCAAACAGAAAAAAGTCTTCTAAATTATTTCCTTATTCAAATTTCTATTATTTCTTCTGCAAATGAAATACAATAGTCATTTTTAATATAATTTTGTACATGAATCCGAATTAGAAATTAACCATTAATATTTAAGTTGTTTTTTGCCCAAACCAAGTATTAATGGCTATTTATAATTTAGATTCGGATGCAAAATTACATTAAAAATAATTATTGTACTTTATTTGCAAGAAATAGTGGAGAATATAATAAGGAAATAATTTAAAAAAATTTTTTTTCATTTAATTAACGAAATCAAGATTAATATTTTTAAAAATTGCATGGCATCAAAACCTAGAAGTTTTAATCTAAATTTTAGTATCCTACAAATTATAATTTGTTGGTACAATTAAGAGTCCATTTCTCTAATTTTCATTGTTCTATAATAATTT